TTAGAGATGAGCATGGCCAATTCTGGTCCCGGTAATAGAATTAGTCATATCTCTGTAGTCTAAAAGCGTAATAAAGTTTCAAATAGTAGGTTTTGCAGAAAAATGTTTTCTCTACAAAATAAGACTACCGCGAACACTGAGTGATTATCACAGACGGAGAAAATGGCGTCAAGATCGACCGGGACCACGACCTGGACCAGTTTGGTCCCGGTCATTATATTTCCTAAATTATTTGATAACAATGGTCTGTGGAATATTTTAAAACATACAGGCAGAAAGAGCAAACATTTCTCTACAAAATGCGTAGTTGAACAATAATTTAACAATAAAGTTGATGAAATAGCAAGCAGATCTTTGACGGGGACTAAAAAACATTTTTTGGTCCCGTGCACATCTCTATTCGCATCGCATTATTAGAATATAAGAATCGATGACAAGTTCCCTTGAGAAAGTCTTTACATGTGTTTTTGGCTGACTTATTTTCATTCAAATATGGTTTACTCATATCGAATTTTACCATGGAACCTTGTAATTATCATTAAGTTCGATGAAATTCAGAGAATTCGAGTTTTTTTCTCCTCAAATTGATCACACAAGCAACCATAAAAAAGAATATGGTAAACAATGAGTAGTTGCTCGCCTGCCTACCACAAAAAATATATCAGAAAAGGAAAGGAATAGCAACAAGAAATATGAATATTAGGAAAGCATTGTTAAAAAAAAAAAGAAAAAATACAAGAAAATTTTTTTTCCTTTCCTCTTGTTATCCAAAACCCATAGTAACTAGTTGTTTGCCTTATTGCTGTTAAATAATTGCAAGAATACTTTCGCAAGAAGAACACTTCATTTAGTTTTTAAAGAGATTCACAACACCACTAATACTACAAAATCTATATTGTCTAGATTTCTACTACGGTAAGCGAGTATTAATACAATATATTCAGCAGTTTCAATATTGCCTCCAGAACGCACAATAACGCAAGAATTTTCCAGTTTGTTTCAATAGCCTTACGATCTTTATTCTAATGACTATGGAAAAGCATACGAAGAAATATGTATACACTGTTCGTAGCATACTTCCTCAAATGATAATTTAAAAATTATTTTTTGTGTATGATAATGAGTAATACATTAAGAAAACCTGTATCGTCAGTTCATTTGGAGAAAATATTCAAAACGAGGAAGCCACCTGTCATTTGAGCTGACTGAACATATCTTATGACCATTCTACTGAGTTTTCCACTAGTTTTTATTTTTAACTATGCATCAAAATATTAAGTTCTGAAATTTTCATCTCTAGTAATTGAGCGAGAAAAATTCAGTGTCAATTCATTTTTCTACCCCGAGCTGCAATGAGTCATAACTGTAGAATATTACAAGATAGTTAAAAAGTAAGAGTATTTTTTTCAGATTGTTATACGCTGTATTCATGCCTATTACAAAAGCTGAACTTTGCGTCACTATGGCGTCGATTCTTATCGATGTACTCAATTTGGGTGAACAATTCGGTATCTATTTTGCACAGCAAGCAGAAGAAATAGATGAAATGAAACAACGTCAATTTTTCTTTATTCTTCTGGGTATTAGTGCAATTACTCTACTTAAATCCATATTTCGCAATGAAAGAACTAAAATAGTAATTTCATTTTTGATTGAAATTGGTGAACTACTTTCTTATTTATTGATTCTTGAACGTACATTAGCAGTAATAATTATTTCATCAACATTCTTTGGGCTTCAATTTGTTTGCTATATTATCACGTTTTCTTTGATTAAATCGGATGATGAGACACAGATGCGGGAACCTCGACTAATGGGATTTCTATGTCGTCTTGTAGTGTATTTTTCTATGAATATTAATCCACTTCTAACATTATTTCTTAATTCAGAATCTCGATTTCGTCAAACGCCCTATGAAGTGTCTCTAATCATTGCTATATTTTTATCTAGTGTAGCATACGATGTTCGAGCGGAAATCAAATTATTAGAATACACATGGGAAAATCAAATGCGGGATCTAAATCAAACTAATCAAGTCTCACCAGCACGTTTTGATCTTCGAGAAGTTATGAAAAATAATAATGCTATTCAGCGTGGTTGGGCATTTGGAAATTATGTAACTTCTATGATATGTAGCTGCTTTTACATGATTACTTTGACAGTTATTTTAGCAAGTCTAGAACTAAAAGAAAAAGGTTCTCAACTACCATCCTATGATCGAGGTATATGTATCTGGTTTCTTGTTAGCACTTCATTTGCTCTTTTGCTTAGTCCATATTTTTGTTTCGATCTAGGTTTCGTAATTTACAGTGTTTTTTGCAGGTGACAAGTGTCTTGAAAGTTTTTTCTGTTTATTGAATTATTGTATGTTTTATTCTATTGTCATATAATAAAAAGTGATAAACTTTTCAACTGAGTTTGCAGAGTGTAGATGTATATCTTATCTTAACTCGTGCACTCATCCATATGCTCAAGACCACATTATACAACTGTATTATCTTCTACGATATATCACACGTAATCAATTGTGTTTATTCTAAAACTACAGAAAAAATGTAACAAATTAGAAGAAAACAAAATTGACTAATATTCTTTTCTTTTCTCTTCTTTTTGAATTAATCAAAACAAAATAAAATAAAGTTTTGATCAATTAAACGAAATGCAACACCATCAAAAGAGACTACTTCATTCGTTCTTCTCAATCTTCTCAATCGATCGTTCATTGTATGCCCTCTTCAATACGGAAGCCAATGCGCACGTTGGTGTCTTCGGCTCATAACGATAGGATGACCTCGACCTTCGGCATTAATACCGAAAGGTGAAGCAGCGTGGTGATGGTGGCGGTGATGGAGATGCGGCACAGGTTGAAGGTGATGACTCATTTCTCGCGGATATTGTTGTTCGTAATATTGTGGTCCAAAATTTATATAATTTTGCATTCGAGCAGCCACATGTTCATAATGTTGACCTGTTTTGAAACTCATTCCAGCTGGCTTGACCATGGTCGAGTGTGTTAAGAAGAAATGTAATGAAATATCATATTGATGATGTTTAAGCGAAACCTTTTTATACTTGTTTCGGAAAAAGAGCAAATATAATATGCATTACAAAATTCGTAAGTGATCATGAGTGACAATTTTAACGGTATTTCTCATCAAACATGAATGACAGGAAAAGAAAAAAGTACAATAAAATATGTGACTTCATCGAACAGACGCTAGTGGTTCGATAGCAAGAGAGTCGTTAGTAATGAGTCATTCACAAACTACCTATTGATATATTTTCAAGATATAGAGAAAAAGCAAGACTTCACCTACTTCAAAACTTTTTTTAAAGTACAAGCAAAGTACACGTGAAGTAAAAGTGAAGTATCAGTGAAATACGGACTCCTGAAGTCTCGCGTTTTTTTTTTCTTGGATATTTTACACTTAGTCTTTGCAGGTCTGCACTAACGGAATAGACACAAGAAAAGTAGATCAAACAAGAAAGAGATGTGATGAAATAGAATGATAAAAAATATAATATTAAGATGAATCATTCTTATGACTGATTGTTTATTTCTCTTCTCACTTAGAAAGTATGTGATTTTGATACTCAAATCATTGCGTTACAATATCATTATACTATAAGCTTCTTTATACCTACTGAAAAGGAAATGATCGATTCTTTTTAGAAATAACATTCAGAAATACAAATAAATCTCAACAATATTCTTGCTTATGTTTGTAATAAAAAGTGTTTATGAAACCTCTGTTGATCATACGCTTCCATAATCACATTTAACATTAGTTGTCGCTTATCGATCTATATTAGAGAAACAAATTAGAAATAATCTTTACGAATGAATGATATGATGTAAATATAGATTAAATTCAAACTTATTTATCTGTCTACGATGATACAAAGTTTGATAATCAAGAGTTTAGATTTTCTATTGCTTCTTTATATTTCATACCTCAGTTTATTCTCTCAAAAATTGAATAAAAATATAAAATTATTGTCGAAATATTGTTATTTATGATGAAATAAAACAAGAACAAACTTAACTTGCTTTATTACTTTGTAAAGGATTAGCTATATGTTTTATCATCATATTACTAATGTTAGTGTGTTCAAGTTTGACGATAGACAATGTTTATATTGAATGATACGGATTGATATATAATTGAACAATTGATTAAACTTTAATATTTCGTAATATATCAGCAAAAAACATCAATTATATTACTTGAAAAATTTAGCGTAGTTAATGTTTGTGTAAAGTCATTTCATTATACATGAAATGAAGGGATGAAAAAAACAAGTTTACTATATTCTGTTATACTACTTTTTTGAAGGTTTTTACAGCTATAATATTAGTTTTATTACTTTGGAGGCCTAGCACAGTAAGTATCTGAATCAGATTGCAAAGAATCTGATAATTTAGATGATGTCAATAACTGTATCCTTTTTCTAATGCATTGATTAACTGATGTGTTTCTGTCAGAATCTTAATCAACAATCGACTGTATCCAATAAGAACAGATACAGATGATCGAGAAAATCGAAAAAATTACCTATTTGCTGTAATTTAATGTATAGTATATGCTAAATTTTGTGTCATTTTGTTAGAAATAATGTTTCCTTCTAAATTCAAATATATTAAGTAGATGAACAGCGATTTGATCTTATGGTATTGTTTATTAATGTATGCATTAAATGACGAATAGATTCACGGGTGTGGATATAATCTTCAAGTTATCGCACTTCCACACTCCCAAGGAGAATCAAAGATTGATTCATCTATAGCTGCATTATACCTGAGAATTACCAAGTGTTTTTTGTCTTTCTTTCTACGAAATAAATTTTTTATTACCTATTTATGATTATTGAAGATAAGACGAAAAGTTTAGTTGTATTTCACAATAGATATAAAATTACCCACATAAGTGTTTTTATTGCATACACGTCATTATTATTTTTCTGTGCGATATTACTCAATATGATGCAATGAAATTAATCATCATAATTCAGTATAAATAGACTTTTTTTCACAAACGTGTGGCATTTTTGCTAATCATAGATATACAACAGAGCGAGTATCCAACCGTTTCTATTGTAACATAAGTTTATCTCTATGTTTTGATTGTATTTATATTGAAGGTGATTAAGACTTTGAATTAGGAAGTCTTGATGTCAAACATAGTATAATTAATGCCTTATCGTCATTCAGTGTTTCTGTGAAATTGATAGAAAAAGCTATTTTCTTTAACTCCCACAATTTTTTGTATGCCAGTATCGAGTATGAAAAATCACAGAACTTTTCATTGCAATCGAGAACATGTACAGCATATGTCGTGTCCTAGTAATGATGAGCCATTCGAATTACTGCGATTCTTTCAATTTAAAATGCGCAATAGAGTGTGGATGTGAATTTAGATTAAATAGAAACGAGCCCACAAAGAGCTGTCGATGGCAATATCAAAATCCCTGAAGATGCGTTATGACCATCTTATTTAATTTTCGACTAGTTTTTAATTATTCGTGAAAATATTAGATTATGAAATTTTCATCTCTAGTAATTGAGTGAGAGGAACTCAGCCTCACACCACCATTCTACCCCGAGCTGCTGTTAGACATAACTGTAGAATAAATATCGGACTTATGAAACTGCCTGCGATTATTACTCTGCATTTTAAGGTAGCCGAAAATGAAGAGTATTTCTTTTCACATAAATACAAAAACTACAAGAATACATCAGATCATGTCTTTTCTTTCAGATACTTATAGACTGAATTCATGCCTAGTACAACACTTGGTTTTTGCTTCACTATAGCGGCGATTTTTATTGATGTTCTCAACTTAGGTGAACAATTATGTATCTATTTTCTACAAGAAGTAGAAGAAATGGACGAAATGAAAGAACGTCAATTTTTCTTCATTATTCTGAGTATAGGTGCAATTAATCTATTTAAGTCAATGTTTCCTAATGAACGAATTAAAACAGGAATTTCATTTTTGATTGAAATTGGCGAACTTCTTTCTTATTTACTGGTTCTTGAACGTACATTGGCAGTAATAATTATTTCATCAACATTCTTTGGACTTCAATTTGTTTGCTATATTATCACGTTTTCTTTGATTAAATCAGATGATGAAACACCGATGCCGGAAGATCAACTAAAAGAATTTGTATATCGTGTTTGTATCTATATTTTTATCAATCATGGTCCATTATTTACATTATTTCTCAATTCAGATTCTCGATTTCGTCAAACACCTTACGAAGTGTCTCTAATCATTGCGATCTTTTTATGCAGTGTCATATACGAAGTTTCGACGGAATACCGATTCCTTATGAATATATGGACGAATCGAATGGAAGTTGAAAATCAAACTGATCAAGCCTCATCAGCACGTCCTGATTTTAGAGAAGTTAAGAAAAATAGTAATGCTATTGAGCGTCGTTGGGCAATTGGAAATTATCTAGTTTCTCAGATATTTAGCTTCTTTTACATGAGTATTTTGACGGCTGTTTTAGCAAGCTTAGAACTAACAGAAAAAGGTTCTCAGCTACCATCCTATGATCGAGGTATATGTATCTTGTTTCTTGTTAGCACTTCATTTGCTCTTCTGCTTGGTCCATGTTTATGCTTTTGTCCAGTTATCTTCATTTACGGTTGTTGCCCTAAACTAGAGTACGGCGGTTCCAAAAAAGAACCGGAACCGGAACCGCGGTTCCGATTCGATTCCGGCCAGCAGAAATGAGAAAAGAGCGGTTCCGGTTCGGTTCAGATTCCAAAAAAATCGGTTCCAGTTTCATTTTTATGGAACCGCCGCACCCTACCCTAAACACGTGTCTTCATAGCGTTTTCTGCTCATTGAATGCTTGTATGTTTTATTTATTTCTCATACAATAAAAAGGTGATATACTTATCTCAACTGAATTCTTAGTGAGATGTCTGACATTTTTTTGCAATAAATTCAAAAGTTTCATGACATATCTAATACGAAAATCTAGAATTTTAGTATTTCTTATTCAGCATGTGCTTGAAAAGTCACCAAATATGAATCTACTAAGCTTCTTATTTATATTTAAAATTAAAGCTTACAAGTGGATCCTATGACGACGATGTTATCTTTTTCATATAGTTAAGATTCAGAGTACGAATATGAATAATTCACATGAGTACAACTCTATAATAGGTATTATTTTTGTACTTCTATGAACAAATAACTTGTGAATGCAAAATAACTTCATATGATAGAATATGAAATAATATTGATGTGAAAAAAATCTTTGTCTACAGTTATTTTTGTCTGTATAAAAGATTATTGTTAGTTTTCAACAAAAATAAAATAAAGACTTATTTTCATAAAATACTTTAGACAAAGATACCAAAAACGACAGCAGGCAACTATTATAATAAAAAATAGCAAAATCAACTTTAGATAAGTAAATATGAACATCATGACTAGGCGAGAAGTATTAGGGAAGATGAAAATGGTATAAGTGTGGGTATATATCTTTTTTTCTTAGCTCAAACATCCACCCACCCTATTAATGCGATTAAACAGTGAAAAAAAATTATTGATTATTTGAATTAGCATCTTCATCATTCCGTGATTCTTCATGATTATCATTGTTAACTATGGATAGTTCTGCATTTGAAGAATAATTATTATTCAAAAGATTTTGTAAAATTATTGTCGTCATTATATATTTTCCTAGTTTATAGAACTTAATAAAATTTTTGATTTCATTATATTGATATTTAAAATTTTAATTTATTTACGAAATATGTATGCGAATTAAAAGAAGAGGATAAATCCAACTGTTTCATCATAAAATGAATTTCTTATTATCCAAAAATGTCTTTAAGACTTCCAGTAGTTTTGAATCCATATCTACAACTTTTTGCTTATCTTAGATCTTGAGCTCAAAAATGACATAAATAATTCAGTGTGATAGAAATCATCTATTCACGTCCACACCCATTGTAATACTTTTTCCATTTTGCGATCCGCGCAATGTAATCAATATTTAACTATAGTTATTCTCTATCCATTTGGGTTCACTAAACATGTTCAAACTTAATCACGATAGTACAGGTTATTCGCATGAAAACTCCTGACATCTCGAATTCATCCTTTTCATTACTTTTTTTACTGGGAGAACACAAACATTGTCAAGTAGTTATTTTTTCCAGCACATCATTAGTTATGTTACCTATGACTTTTTCATCTCGTCTAATTCTGATTATAATTATAATGTTCTTTGAATTTACTGAAAAAAATTGCGAATCAACTTTTCTCATTATTTCTGGCACAAAAAACTTCAGTTTCTTGACAATTTGTGGGCAAAGTAAAAGCAACTATGTCATTTAATCAAATAGGCCGCTTGTTCAAGGGATTTCATTGGCATTGGTTTATCATTGATATCATTCTGTCCTCTAACAGTGCTTGAATCTCTAGTGAATGTTGTTCTTTTTAGAATATTTTTTGTTAATTTCAGAGATTATATTCAAAGTATGTAAATTGTATCATATTATGAAAAGATTTCTTTAAGGCATATAGATAATATTTCACTCTTCGACTGATGTTACCATCCGGAATTTTCTGATATTTGCGTAGCGATGTAGTCAAGTAGTTATATAGTTCTACAAAGGTAGATACGGATATGAAGTTGTCATATATCACCAATCAGTATTTTGCCCTTCAAAATATTTTTTCTATTTTGAGAAGATTTTATTAGAAGGTGAACAAGTTTTAGTTTGATGAACATTTTTTTCTACTTTCGACAACTCAATGATAATTATCATAAGTACTGTCACGGCTTTCTTTGATGCATTAGAACGTCATTTTTATTATGCGTATAAAGATAATGAAGAATATATTCATACTTAGTATACTTAGAAACAGCAGTAATAGTTTTTTGTTCAAGTGAGAATAAGAAATGAAACAGATGTATTTAGATATGCCTTATATGTAAAGAACATCAGAGTATCGCTATTCACTTCTCTATTATCATTAGTAAAACAACATATTTTTTTATCTTACAGAACATTTTTCATTTTTTTTTTTCTGTTCAGATTATAATCATAAGCACACATGACAATTCCATATATAATTCGTTTTTGGTTATATCTAATCTTCCTTATTCCATCGGTTCTATGTGCTCTATTTTGTCTTTATCATTTTCTTATTGATCGAGTACTTCGCAAAGCACTTAATAATCATGTAGTAATGCTCATACTCTTTCTCGGTGTTTTTTTAAATCTGACTGACATAGTTTGGTACATTGATTTTTATCGTACTGGTCATCCTTTGTCATTAACAGAAGCCTTTTGTATGACATGGACATATATTGATTATGCTGTATTTGTATCAATAACATTACTAGTAGCTTGGGGATCAATTGAACGACATATTCTTATTTTTCATCAAAATCTGGTTTCTACACAAATCAAACGTTTTCTTGTACATTATTTACCATTGTTCACAGTTACGATGTATCCTTTTATATACTATATTATTATATATTTTGTTTTGCCGTGTGATCCATGGATCGATTTCACCACGTCAGGATGTGGTATTTCTGCTTGTGCATATAACACTGCATTCCTTGGAATGTGGGATAGTATAGCACATAATATTGTACCTATATTTATTATTGTTATCTTCAGCATGGCACTTTTTGGACGAATATGGTATAGTAAATATCGAATCAATCAAAGAATGCGATGGAAAAACTATAGAAAAATGTCAATTCAACTATTATCTATATCTGCTATTTATTTAATAATAGTATTTCCATCAATGATTTTATATACTCTTTATACAGCCGGTATAAGAGATAATTCGTATTATGATTTCTTTGACATTAGTTATTATCTGTCGTACTTTGTTACTTTACTTGCTCCATTTGTGAGTATTGTCTCATTACCGGAACTTCAAACAAAACTTAAAAAAATCATTCAATTTTTTTCACTATCGAAATGTACTCGGCGTAATCAAATAATACCAATAAATCATTCGACAACTCACTGAATACTGGCTATTATCTATTTGTTGTTGTGAGATGTGTGAAGTTTATTGAATTTTTTATTATTGTCTCGTTGATCTTTTTAAGTATCAATAAATATAACTCAATGTATGTTCTAACATCATTGTGAAGATGTGGGTGTGGATGCAGATAACATGCTCATCTAGGTTATAAACAGGGATTGAAGACAAGTGATATAATTTCATGTGAGAGGCGTACACTGCTGTCGCTTTTTTTTCCTATTATTTTTTTTCTTTCTTTCTGTGCAAGCAACGATAATATAACGATGTTATCGGCAAAAAGTATGAGAACACGAGCAAAAAAGATTGTATTTTTCACTTTTTGTGCTACTCTGTGCGCGTGCTCGTGAAATATTTACTTTTTTCTTGCGTTACATTTTTTTTATACCACTCAATTACAATCAATTGGCAAAATGGTTTTTACTATTATAGTACATCTAGCTGTGAAGAGTGAGCACGTGGATAAAGTCAAGGCAAAATTAATAGAAGCAAGTCGTGTATATGCCAAGGATAAAGGAACCATCGATTGGTTCGTTAGCCAAGGTAAAAAGAATTTGTTATTCTTCTATTTAAAAGAGAATATCATTTTTCATTCTAAACAGATGCAGCAGATCCAACCAAATTTGCTATTGTCGAGCGATATGAACAACAGAGTGATGTGCAAACTCACATCAGCAATCCGTATTATAAACAGTTCGGTGCATACGTGAAACCACTTTTAACGAAACCTATTGTATGTTATTATTTGATTTTCTATAATTTTCTTCTTATTGTCTCTCATTAAACTAGGAACTTCACAGCTTGGCAGAATTGGATACATCGAAAGATGTCGAGGTTCCTCCGCAAACATGGTCGGATGAAACAGACCAATAAATTTTGTTTTAAATTTGTCTTCTTTTTTTTACGATAGTTCTAAAAAAACAAAGAGAACTAACTCAGAAAAAATAAAAACGCTCATTCACGTCTAGTCTAACTCATTCACGTCTAGTCTAACTTAGCGATCACACGTACCTTATATATATATCACACATATATATTTCTTTCCTTTCTATATCACGCGCT